ATAACCTAGTATGTGATCAATTAAAATAACTTAGGGGCGCCTGGGTGGCTCAGTCATGAAGCGTCTGCCTTCGGCTCAGGTTGTGATCCCAGGGTGCTGGGATCGAGCCCCGCATCGGGCTCCCTGCTCGGCGGGAAGCCTGCTTCTCCCTCTCCCACTCCCCCTGCTTGTGTTCCCTCTCTCGCTGTGTCTCTCTGTCAAATAAATAAATAAAATCTTAAAAAAAAATAACTTAAAAAATGGTGCTTGAGAAGTATAATCTCTAATTGTTGGATGCAGAATTCTAGAAACTTCCATTAAATCTAGCTTATTATGTTGTTCAAGTCCTCTGACTAATTTTCTGTCTGCTTGGCCTACCAATAGTGGAGAGGTGAGTATTCAAATTTACCCCCAGGAGGTGGGTTTTTCTATCTTCCCGTGTGCTTCCATCAATTTCTGCTTCCTAATTTTTTAAAAAAGACTTTATTTATTTATTCGCCAGAGAGAGAGATAGCACAAGGCAAGGGAGCAGCAGAGGGAGAAGCAGGTTCCCCGCTGAGCAGGGAGCCCGATGTGGGGCTCGATCCCAGGACCCCTGGGATCATGACCTGAGCCGAAGGCAGACGCTTAACTGACTGAGCCACCCAGGCGCCCCTCTGCTGCTGAATTTTTGAAGCTGTTTTATTAGGTACGTGCAGATTTAGAATTGCTGTCTTGCGGGAAAAGCAAATTTTTTAGTTTTTGTGTACCACTTTTGCTCCCCCAATAGAGCTTTTTGTAAACAACTTTCATAAACTGTAAACAGCAAAAAGCTGGATTTTAAAAAATCCAGTCTAACACTGTGTCTTTCCGATGGCTCATTTGGTACTTTTAAGTTTATTGTGATTATTGCTGTCTTTTGACTTACTTTTGTTTTCTTACTTATTCTATTTTTTCTTATCCTTTCTCTCCACTTTGGAGTTTTTGTTTGCTTCTTTTCTTATTTTACCCTTTTCTACTCCCTTTATTGATTTGAAATGTATGTACTTTTATTTCTATAGTTCTAGTGAAATATATGAAATTTGAAATTCTATCCCACATACCTAATGAAGTCTAAGGTTTATTTATATTAAAACCCTTTTCTAAAGGATACAATGAGCTTTGAACTTGAACTTTGCCTACAGATGCACATACTAGTCGTAGGCAGCATTTTAGTTCTTTCTGTTCCCTTATATTGTTATTACTTTATACAATGTTTGTGTAGACTTAGCTACATGTTTATCAGTGTCTTTGCTCACCATTCTTCCTTGCACACCCAATCTTTCTTCTGGGATAATTTTCCTTTTTCTTACAGCACATCCTTCAGAGGCCCCTTTAGTAAAGACTTGCCGATGGCTCTTTTTATTTATCAGAAAAAAAAATCTCCATTTCAGCCTCAGCCTTGAAAGATAGTTTGGCTAAGCTCATAATTCTAGGTTGATGGTTATTTTCTCTCAGTGCTTTGAAGCTGTTCCCTGTCTTCTGGTTTCCACGGTTGCTTCTGAGAGGTGTGCTATTTATCCTTTCTTTGTAGGTGTTGGGGCTTTTCCACGTAGCTGCTTTTAAGATCTTTGTCTTGGGATGCGCTTTGCTCTGCCGTTTCACTACGTGTGGCTAGATGTGGGTTTCTTCTCATCTGCCTTGTTAGATGTAGGTTTTACTCTCCATATCTGTGGAGGCGTGCCTTTTGGCAGTTCTGGAAAATTCTCAGGCATTATCTCTTCAGGTATGCCCCCTCCCCCTTTCTCTCTCTCCTCTTTGTGGGACCTCGGTTGGGGCCACCGTGGCCGTTCCCTCGTCTTTCACATTTTCTAAAGTTTTTTTTTTTAATTTATTTGAGACAGAGAGAGAGAGAGCACATGAGAGGGGGGAGGGTCAGAGGGAGAAGCAGACTCTCCGCCGAGCAGGGAGCCCGATGCGGGACTCAATCCAGGGACTCCTGGATCATGACCTGAGCCAAAGGCAGTCGCTTAACCGACTGAGCCACCCAGGCGCCCTCGTCTTTCACATTTTCTATCTGCTTGTGTTTGCACCATGCTCTGTGTGATTTCTTTGGGTCTTTTAGCTCACCCTTTGTCTCTTCCATCATGTCCGATCTACTGTGGGACCCATTTGTTGACTTTCAGTGGCAAGTTACCATTTCTTTTTTAAAGATTTATTTATTTATTTGAGAGAGTGAGAATGAGAGAGAGGGGGGAGAGAGAGAGAGAGAGAGAGAGAGAGAGAGTACATGAGAGGGGGTTGGGTCAGAGGGAGAAGCAGGCTCCTCGCTGAGCAGAGAGCCCTATGCGGGACTCGATCCCTGGACTCCGGGATCATGACCCGAGCCAAAGGCAGTCGCTTAACCAACTGAGCCACCCAGGCGCCCCGCAAGTTACCATTTTTATTTCTAAAAGTTCTAGTGTGTTCTTTTCCAGAGCTGGCGAGTCACTTTTTAAAACTGTCTCTTGTTACTTGGTAACTCTTAAGATTTCATCTTTTATTTCTTTGAAAATTTCAACCAGTTATTTAATATACTATAATTATAACAGTTGCAATTTCTGACATCCTTGGGGATCTCAGGCTATTGTTTGTTATATCTGCTCACTCTGGCCTCTTGGTATATTTGCCATTTCCCAAAGCCCCCTGGCTTACCTCACTCACAGCATTCACAAACTCATGTTGAAAGTTACCATTTATGCATTTGCTTCTCCACTAAACGGGGCTGCCTCTTGACGTCAGGGATGGTTTCTCACTGTCTGGGTATTCACACTGCTTGGCAGTCCTGGCATGGAGAAGTTCTTCCATAAACATTTGTTGGATTGAACACAGACCCTTTTTTCCCCATCCTGAAATTTCTCTTGCCTGAAATTATTTGTTGATTAGAAGCACTTTTACATATGAGGACATCATTTAATGTTGTGCATGTGAGGTTCCCTACCAGGGCTCAGAATAAGAAAGTTCCTTTAGCTAGATAGGTCTGTTGGATGCACAGACTGATGGGTGTCTGGCTTCCTTGTTGGGCATCTGCCATTGTGGGTCCAGTACTCTTTCAGTTTCTGTGCCCTCCTGTGCCCACTGTGGTTGCAGTGATAATACTTATTATATAGGTTTGTTAGAAATAGTAAATGAGGTGCTATATGCTCAGTGCTTGGCACACAGTAGGCACTCAAAAAAACCTAGGTCCTTTTTTCCGTTAATGATTGAATTCCTTGAGGTTGGAAACCCCATGTTATTTATTTCCTTGGTTCCTACTCCGTGTAGTTCAAGACCTGACACAAAAGGCATACACTAAATGTCTGATAAGTGCCTGTGTGTGTGAAACCTTAACATTCAGGATGGGACTACCCTTCTTGGGGATCTCTGGTTTCCATAGCCTGTGGCTCTGCCCCACTCCCACCCCACAGTACTTTGGCATCTGTCAAAACCAATTACAGCTTTCTGTTCTTGAAAGACAAAACCCAGCAAGAGGTCAGACACATGGGGGGAAATTCCAGAGCTTTTGAGAAAATACCCTTTTTTTTTTTAGATTTTATTTATTTATTTGACAGAGAGAGAGAGAGACAGCAAGAGAGGGAACACAAGCCGAGGGAGAAGCAGGCTTCTGCAGAGCAGGGAGCCCGATGTGGGACTCGATCCCAGGACTCTGGGATCATGACCTGAGCTGAAGGCAGTCGCTTAACCAACTGAGCCACCCAGGCGCCTGAGAAAATTCTTTTCTGAGCTTTAGCCTACAGGCAGTCCACATTGCTGGGGCCCCCGAATCTGTTGTTTCCAAGACTGCATGATGCCCTCTATGCTTCTACTGAGCTTCTCCATCTGCTCTTGCTGTCAAATCGTGAAGAAACTTGCTTTCTTATTATGTCACACCATGTCCCCGACACGAGGCCCAGTATGAGAAGTCTCTTTCAGAATTAGTTCCTGGAAATATGTGTACCTGTGGAGGAACTGATCCGCTTCCTCCTTTCTGATAATCGGTATCAGAACTTAGTGTTTCATTTCTTGCCCTGACTACCTGGAAGCTCAAAGCCAGATTTCAGGACCAATTACGACAACTATGGCAACCCTTCAGATTGCTATTTTTATTCTTGAGCAATACGGATCTTTTTTTTTTTTTTAAAGATTTTATTTATTTATTTGACAGAGAGATAGACAGAGCCAGAGAGCACAAGCAGAGGGAATGACAGAGGGAGAGGGAGAAGCAGGCTCCGCATTGAGCAGGGAGCCCGATGCGGGACTTGATCCCAGGACCCTGGGATCATGACCTGAGCCGAAGGCAGACGCTTAACCATCTGAGCCACCCAGCCCTGGGCAATACGAATCTGTTGAACGAATTAGTCTTTCCCGTTGTAAGCTGTCTTGTGCCCTTTTGGGAAAGAGATGCAGCACACAGGGGTTTCAAAACTATGACGGTACTCATAGCAGGTAGTCACTGCAACAACACAGAGATGGGGGCGGGGGCCACAGAGGGAGAATTGGTGGGATGCTGGCAAGAGCTTTGGCCCTGGGGCCAGACTGCCCCTGTGCACATCCCAGCTCTGCCCGTCACTCCCGAACGGCTCTCATGCACATTTGATAACCTTTCTGAGTGTCCTCAGTTGTAAATAGGGATCATCATTGTCTCTACTTTAAAAGGTCACCATGAGGATTAACGAGCATAGTTCCTGTAAACTACTTAGCATGGGATCTGCCACAGAATAAACCTCCAACTGTTTTTTTTTTAAGATTTTATTTCTTCATTTGAGAGAGAGAGAGAGAGAGAGAGAGAGAGAGAGTGCGCACAAGCAGGGGGAACAGCAGGGGGAGAGAGAGAAAGCAGGCTCCCCACTGAGTGGGGAGTCTGACACGGGACTCGATCCCAGGACCCGGGATCACGACCTGAGCTGAAGGCAGAGGCTTCCCTGACTGAGCCACCCAGGCGCCCCCATCTCCAATGGCTTTGAAGGTATCGCACCGAACACTTGAGTCTGGGTGGCTGGACCACCAGACAAAAAGCAGGGAAAAAGGATTCAGTGTTAAGAGAATCGTGATGGTGGTGGTGGCTGGGTGCATGTGCCTTGTTTAGAGTTTCCCCCAAGGCCTTGCCAGCCTGGGAGAGGACCAGTGGAGTCACATTGACAGTCACGACCTGTCCTTGGCTGGCTTCTATCCCCATCTGTTCACCAGGACTTCCAAAAGTCTGCAGGGCTCATCCAGTTATTTCTGGGAGTCCCCAGGGGCTTTTGCATGGTGTTCATGAAGGATCCGACCAACTTGAGGTGCCTTGTGGCCTTGGCGGGGTTCTCTGGCCCGGGCTCCCGCTCCCTGTCCCCTGGGTGTCCTCTGTCTGTGAGCTTGCCTCACATGTCACAGCTGCGGGGGCCCTCTGTGGGGCACCTACGTCCTGGGGACAGACAAGGCTTTTCTAAGCAAGGCACACAGTTCAGAAGCTATAAAGGAAAACACTGTCAAGTTTGACCTCATAAAAATAAAAATCTCCTGTAAGACAAATGACACCGTAAACAAAGCTAAAAGACAAGCAACAGACTGAGCTTTGAAGGGGAAAGAGGAAAATAATCTCAAATTTTCCCCACAGTGTCTCGGTATTGGAGGCAAAGGAGGAGGGATGATTTCCCTGAGGGTGGGGGCTGGTGCCGGGTCTACCCATTGGGCTGACTCTGAATTAGTCTGACGATGCTTTCTCTATCAGCCAGAAATGAGATCATCCCTTCTAAGAAGATCGTATCCACAGGCGGGTCACTTTGCATGGCTTCCTGTTAAACAGAGTCCAGCGTGGGCCAGTAGCCTGACACAGCTTGCATAGAACCTCATGAATCACTTACTTGCCAGCGCGTCCTGCCACAAAATCCCCCTGGTTCCCGATGAGCTTCTGAACCATCTCTATCCTCTCCTGGCCCTGATCCTAAGCAGTGGATCCCCATCATCGGCACAGCATGAAGAGTGCCATCCCCATTCCCTGCCCCAGGAGGTGAGGAGGATGGGGGAGCTCTGCTGGCTCTCAGCTGGGCTGCTAATGTGCAGGATAAGGGGCAGCAGCAGGATGTGCGTGTTCGTGGTATCTCGGATGGGTCCAGGTAACAGGGGCGTCCACCTCTCACCTGGCTCAGGTGCATGAACCGCCCAAGCCCAGGGCCAGTGATGGATCCAGGGGGACCTCCCCCATGACCACCCTGCCAAGTGGCAGCCGATACCCTTGGGGTTCTGTGTGCCTGGGGAGTCCTGCAGGGGGTGTCCTTGGGGGAGGCCAGATAGCTAGAAGCAGGGGTGTGACAAATGCAGAGAGGGTGCATTCCACTCAGGTGAGGACTAGAGCGCTGGGTGGGTGAGGTCTCAAAATGCAGAGGCGGGACAGGCCCACTCATGTGCTGGGCAGCCTGGGACTGCCGTCAGATCTAAGTCTGGTAAGTTCTGTGCTTTCAGACAGGTCAAAACAAGTTCAGGAATGGGAACGCTCTGTCTGCTGGACTTGCTCACAGGCCACCAGGGTGATCCCCGAGGTCAGGGGGACTCCTGAAGGAGAGTTCCAGAGCTGGTGAGGATCTGCGGCTGTTCACGTGGGGCTGGGGTGCCACGTGCATCTTCCTGCTGAGCGGTGGGCCCCCCACACCTCTGGCAGAGAGTGGGGATGGAAAGCAAGAACAGGGGGCCTGGCTGGAAGGATCAGGACTCTCCCCAAGGGCACCTCTGTGTTATTGTTGGGACCGGGTAGACTCACCAGTGAGACACTGCCAAGGGCTGTGGGAACAACGGGGAAAGACCTGGTTGCCCCCAAATGCTGCTTTCTGACCTTTGGCCACTTGAAGATGGACAGAACTCCAGCTAGTCGGGCTGTCTTTCTGGTCCAAGATGGCAGAGGGTGTCAGGTACAAATGGGAACCCTGACCTCTCATGGAAGAAGCCATATGAGAGACTTACCTGGTGATCCTTCCAGGCACTGGGCCTCACATGTGAACATGCTGACATTTCTTGTCTTTGAGAGTCAAAACCTCTCGGCTGGGATTCATCAGTTGCCTACGACGCCCAGCCTTGTCAGGCTGGGTGGGGGTCAGAAGGCACCCACAGCGACCTCGGTGGTCTGAGCAAGGCAGCCTTCAGCATGTGGGTTTCCTCTGGAATTGACTTGAATTGGGACATTTTTGCAGGTGTTTGTGAGAAATGCCTCCCCTCCTGCAAAGCCCATGTCTGAGGCAGGCATTTCCATTATATGGCAACTGGGAAGGTGTATTTGTTTGGGGGCTTAGACAACAGAGAATTTCTTTGCCTGTCATGTACAAGTCCAGGGCTGGAGGGGCTCTGGAATGTTCATGGACTCTGGCTCCTAGCAGCTTATTTCCCCCCTTCCCCAGGGTGTGCCTCTCATCCTCATGGTCCAAGATGGCAGGTCCACATTTTAGGAAATAGTCTGGAGGATGGGATGAAGAAAGAGTACAAGGCAAGCTCCAACTTCCTTCTTTTTTTTTTTTAAAGATTTTATTTATTTATTCATGAGAGACAGAGAGAGAGAGAGAGAGAGAGAGAGAAACAGAGGGAGAAGCAGGCTCCCAAGGAGCAGGGAGCCCGATGTGGGACTCGATCCCAGGACCCTGGGATCATGACCTGAGCCGAAGGCAGACGCTTAACCATCTGAGCCACCCAGGCGCCCTCCAACTTCCTTCTAAATAAGGCCCCAGGAGTGGCCACACACCACTTCAGGGCCAGGCCATAGTGACATGCTGCAAGGGAGGATGGAGCCTGCGGAACCTGGGTGCCTATATGGAGGGCATCCCGACTTGAACACGAGTGGAACCAATGGGCAGCATTTTAATTTTATTTAATAAGTTCAAGTAAGCTCTATGTGGGCCTCGAACTCACGACCCCGAGATCAAGAGTCACGTGCTCTACTGACCGAACCAGCCAACCGCCCTTGACAGTATTTTTGATTCATGTAATATTCATATACGGCTTGCTATGTGCCAGTCACTATTCTAGCTAAGCATTTTACAGGTATTAATTCATTTAGTCCTTGTGAGAACTGACAAGGCAGCTACAGGCAGCACCCCCATTTTATAGGTGAACAGGAGAGGTTCGGCAACCAACTTGATGTTGCCCAGTTAAGTGTCTGAGCCGGGAGGGGACCCAGGCAACCTAGTTTGTGCGCCCAGCTCCGGTGCTCTTCTGCTAGTCGCTGCCCTGGGGTTGCTGCCATGGGATTCTCCTGCTGCTGCCCTTCCCTAGGCTGTGTGGTGGCTTCGCCGGGCCGCTGGCCTCAGGGGTGAGTTCAGGAATTGAGCCAGCTGGCTGCAGGTGCCCTTTGCTGCAACAGCACAGGACCAGCCCTGGGTGATGCTGGTCACTGCAGGAAGGGCATGACTACCGCCCAGGAAGGATAAAGCAGCCCAGTGCTGGAAGCTGCCGGTGCTGTAGGATTTTACCGGTGTGTATGGGACGAGTAGAGGGGGACGGGGCAGGTGCAGGGGAACCGCAGAAAAAGTGACCGACGGCCCCGAGGATGAAAGTGCCCCTGCTGTAGTTCAGTGGATGGGGATCATCATGGCAGAAAATGGGCCCCCTCTAGATAGACTCTGAGGACTGTGACCCTAGTGGTCTAGGGAGTGAGAGGCGACAGACCAGTGAGAGTCAGGGTTGCGATGTGGGGGCAGTGGCTTGTTGGACCGGGCGCTTAATTCTGTTCCCCTCTGAGAATTACTCACCTAGGGTGACCGGGAGGACCAGAGCCCTTGGGTCTTTCCACAGAGCCGACAGTCTGGGGGCGTGAGGAAAGATGGGGGCATCAAGCAAGGAGTTAACAAGGATCCAGGCTCCTCCCCAGATCCTCTGGGTAGGACCACCACACGACGAGGCCTTCTTTTTCAGGGGACAGTGCCTGTCTTGGAAGACTCAGCTGAGAACAGGAATTCTGGTATCCAGCCTGCACACCCAGCCATGTCCCTCTCTTCCAGGGTCAATGTTGTTTGCAAGGCTCTGAGGTTATAGCTTTTGCAGATGGTCTAACAGGGTTTGGGAGCATTTTTTTCTTCTTTTCTGAAGCCCTTCCTTCTGCCCTGGCTGGGGAGGCTGAATCAGCAGGAAGAAATGAAAAGACATCACTTTTCTGTGGAGGCCCAGTTCCCTTTGTGTTTCCAAGTGTTGGGTCCCCCTCCATCCTCAGGGAGTGAGTGTGTGCGTGTGAGTGCATGGCATGTTGGGAGGACTGGGGTGATGGGTTTCTGCTGGTCCTTAAGCTCTGTCTGTCAGATGCTACTGTGGGAGAAAAGAAGGGGAGCCAGGGTGTGGTGTGGATCACCCCTACCGAGGGAAGGGCCAACCAGGAAAATGAAACCATTCAGAGTATTTAAGTAGAGGGAATTTAGTGCAGGGTATTGGCTACACGGCTTATAGAAGGGGCGAGAAGCCAGCAAGGAGGCTGTGAGGCAGACCCGACACTGTTAACAGCTGGGAACCATTACCACTCCTAGGAAGGAGACACAAGGCAAGAAGCAGGGTTCCTGACACTCAGGGGCTGGGTCAGGTCGCCCCACGGAGGAACTGTAAGGCACGAGCTGGAGCCCCGGATGGAGACACAGCTGTTGTCAGAGATGCTACCCAAGGAGGGAGGATGGCAATGCCCTGGCTTCTCCCTTCCTCCTGCCCTCCAGTCTCCCATGAATGCCTCCTATAGTCCCAGGGACCTGGGACACCCGGCCTGCAGGGGCCAGCCCCTGGGTACTAGGCGCAAGGAAGGGCTTTGAGGGCAGACAGATCTGGGACTAACACAGGGAGAAACTGGAGGAGAAGCTGGTGGGGAGAGAAGGGGGGAGGGGTGGGCTCCTGGGCTGGGAGCCCAGCCTGACGCCTGATAGTCGTGTGGGAGCAGGCCGTTGCTCTGGGCCTGCCGGGGCATGCCTGGGAGCTGAGAATAGCCCCCAGCACTCTGCTGGGGTGGCTTGCTGGGGTGCTCTGCTTCTGGGTGAGGGGACAATCAGTCACCTGGTCCCGCGTCCTCCAGGTGGGCCTGGGAGAAGTGGCAGAGGAGCTCTGGGAGCTGTCCTTTGTGGTTGGAGAGGGGCACGTGGGTTGGAAGGTACTGCTCACTGGAGTGGTGTGGAGGGAGACGGGGCACCCGCAGAGGCCGCTGTAGGTGACCCAGGCCGCGGGAGCAAGAGAACAGCATGGATTTGCAGGATTTCCAGGAGGGAGAATCAAGAGGATTCGAACACTCTTTGGATGTGATCAGGGGCACATGACATGGGACACATTTTCCCCCCAGTCGGAGGAGGATGCAAAGATGGTCCTGGCTGCTGAAGTGTGATGCTGGTGGCCATGCCCTGGGGGGCCTTTCTGAGGGCAGGTCCCCATGTAACAAACATGCATATCCTGGTTCAGAGGAGGCTTCTGGGGAGAGATAAAAAATGAGCAGGCCCTACAGGAGGTCAAGTGGGGTTATAGAGGCTGCCTGCTTCTCCCTTCCAGGAGGCCACAACCCTGGGGGTCAGGGGGCTGCGGGGACAGCCTAGGAGCTCCACACTGGGTGGGTGTGGGGAGTCCCTGGAGCTCAGGGGCCCAAGTCTGATCAGGGCAAGACCTCCCACTCAAGTCCAATTCTGGGGACAAAGGCCCCAGCTGGCCACAGGCCTGTCCCTCAGGCTGGTCCTGGAAGCTCTGCAGGGTCCTGGGACACGCTGACCTGTGCTCATCAGCCACAGAGACCGAGCCCGCTGGTCTGCAGGCTGTGAGTCTTTGCTTCCCCGGCTCAGGATATGTGGTCAGTCCTTTCTGCCCCCGCTCAAACCCTGGCCTGGACATCAGTGTCCCCTCTTCCTGCCCAGGCTCTGAGCTCACCCCTGGGCTAGCCTGCCATTCCTGGGAAAGAGGAATTACCAGCAGGTCTCAGAACAGCATGGCTTCCTCCTGGACGTGAGAAAGCAGAAATCAGAGGTGGTACTGTTGGGCTGTAAATCCTGGGCTCAGGTCAAAGACCTGGGTCCTCTTTGTCCCATTTCACAGATGGGGAAACATAGAGACCCGGAAACGAGATGGTATTTACGGTCACTAGACAAAGATGGGAATAACCCTGTCTGTAGGCCTGGCCCTTGGAGGAGCTGAGTCTCCCTGAGTTAATGAGAGTCATGATGGGGTTCCTCTTACTTCCAGGACTCCTGGCTGCACTCCACGCTCCCCCCAGCCCAGGTTCTTTCTCCCCTGCAGGCAGCTCTGACCCACGACAGGCTCTGCTTTCAGCCCCTTCACCCCAACCAGACTGTGGCTCCCCTGGGAGCAGGAACTGGATCCTCTCTCCTCCGAGACCCTCCGTCCACAGCAAAGTCTTACAGACCTGAACTGAAGAAGTTGTTCCTTTTACTGTGATGGGCCCAGACCCTGGAGCCTGGAGGGAAATGTGCCATTTAAATGATGGAGTTGCTGTTGCTGTCACCCGCAACTTGGAGAACTGTGACCTGGCCACCACCTTCTCCTGGCCCTGCCCAGGGGATCTGGGTAGGCTCTGAAGCAGAGAGAAGGAGCCTGGGACCCACTCTGGTGGCTTCTTGGGGGAGGCTCCCAAAGCTGCTCCTCCTCACAGCAGAGAATCTGGCTTCCTTCTCTGGCAGGCTGCTTGTATCTTTTCCCCAATGGCCAGCAGGTGGTGTTGTGTCCCCAGCTTTGTGCATCCTCAGGTCTGGCTCTGCAGTTGGGCTTTGCCGTGTTGGAGGCTGGGCTGCAGCCTTGGGGGGACTCTGAATCCTGCCAAGGCCCCTTTGTGGCTCTCTTCCTGCCTCTGCTGGTGGTTTCTGTGGGGACAGATGTCTCCCGGGGCTGGCAGAGCCAACACAAGCTCATGGCATGCTCCTTATCCCAGCTCCTTGCTATCCTGAGAGGTTTCTCGGCTGCCCAGGTGGCCTGTCCTCAGTGACCTGGGTGTTTCTTCAGTCCCCGCCAGTTGCAATGTGCCTGTGTACACACATCAGTTCAGGTACTCATCACACAGCTGTGTGAAGTAGGTATCCATTGTCCAGATGAGAACACCAAGGTCAGGGTACTCAGCTAACATGTGGCACAGCCAGACCTGCAGGATGCAGAATACTAGACCGTAGCTGTGTCCGGGAGGAATTACTGCTTTTAGACAAACGGCCCCAAATCTGGGACCCTCCTTTCCTCCTCCCCCACCTCAACCCTGGGGTACTTTGACCATCCACACGAGACGCTGGGCTGAGCCAGAAGGGACAGCTCGACGGAGCGGCCCGGGCCTGCCTGGGCAGGGTGGTGTCTTACCCTGACTTCACACGTGCAGTCAGCGCAGGGGGTGAGGGGCAGGACGAGGGAGTGACAGTGGGCACCAGGGCAGAAAGGGTGCCCGTCCTAGCCACTGCTCTCCCACTCTGCTGCTGCTTCTTCACTCTGCTTCTCCCTTGCGCGTGGCTCTCCCTCTTCCTGACCTCGTTTCCAGTTCCCCGCTATCTGGGTGCCTCTCCCTCCCCAACTCTCTGTCCCCAGTTCTCCCTTTTACTCTGTCTCTGCTGCTCTGTCGGCTCGTCTTTCTCTCTTTTTGTGTTTCCGTCTCTCTCCAACAGAATCGGAGTTAAGTGACAAAAGAAAAATGATCCCCTCCTGCCAGGGTTATTAAAATCATGTTCTACAATTGAGCCGCCAGAAGAGCCCCAGTTAATGACGGATGATGAGGCCACAGCTTCCCCACAGCTGGGAGTGAGGTGATAGGCTCTGCGGCAGGATTACCACCAATTACTCTGGGCAGAGAGTGAGCGGCCCCTCTCCTCGCCTTCCAGATCTCCGCCCTCCTGCTCTGGGCAGATAAAGCCTCACTCCTGGCGGGGAGGCTGGTGCTGGGGCATGGGAGAGGAGGCGACAGATCCCTGGGAGCCAGGCAGCCCTCCAATTTGCAGGGATTGTCTCAGTTTACCCAAGGCTTCCCCATCTCTCAGCGGCCTTGGGGACAGGCAAGGCAGGATTCGGAGCCCTACGGAGATCAGTGGCTCAGAGAAGTTAGGTAACTTGTCCAAGGTCACACAGCCAGGAAGTGGCAGGTCTGGTACTTGAACTCCAAACTCCAGTGTCTTTTTTATTTCTTAGTCAGTGAAAGGAGCATTGGGAAAAGAAAGGTTTTGTTGGGTAGAAAATGATAGACCTCGGTCAACCAGGTTTTGACCTAATTGGGATTGCAATGAGAGTAAGCAAGTACGGGGCGCCTGGATGGCTCAGTTGGGTAAGTGCCTGACTCTTGATCTTTGGCTCAGGTCATGATCTCCGGGTGGTGAGATCAAGCCTCACGTCGGGCTCTGTGCTCAGCAAGGAGTCTGCTTGAGATTCTCTCCTTCTCCCTTTGCCCCTTCCCCCATGCTGTCTCTCTCTCTCAAATAAATAAATAAATAAATAGATAATAAATGAAATCTTAGAAAAGAGTAAGCAAGTACATTGCAGCAAAGTGGATTTGAGCCAGACACTGGGAAGGACTTCCCGAAGGAGTAGGCACTAACACAGATGAACAAGAGTCTGTGGTTTTGCCTTCTCTGGTAGTCTATCAGAACAGGAGGAACTGTCTTGGTAGTCTTTCTAAGCTAGACAGGGTTCTGGAGCTACAGAAATCCAACCAATCCAAGGGGGTTTGAGGGTCTAGGGAAGGCCTATGACAGAGTCAGGGAGACTTGACAGGGTAAATTGCAGAAGAGATCAGGAGGCCCATTTGTTAGACCTAGGCTCAAGGCCCAGAGCCTGGGAGTGAGGGTGGGGGATACCAGGGCCTTCAGGATCCAGACGCTGCCTGTGTGGGTGGGGGTCACATCTCAGAAGCCCTCTCCTGGGCAGCTCATTCAAGTTTCCCATCCTCTCTTTGGTTAGACCACTGAGGAATCAGCATCCTGATTTTGCAGATGAGGAAAATGAGTCTCCCAGAGGGGAGTGAGTTAGGTAAGGTCAGATTATGAGGTAAGACCTTGACGTCCCAGCTCCATACTCTGGTTCTTTCCATGCCACCCGGCTGGGAGGAGGCCAGTGGGGGTGGCTGCAGCATCCCAGAGGGCTGTGAGCCGCCTCCTGACCGATCCCGCATCCCGCACTGGCCTGACCAGTTGCTCCCCAGTGGCCCCCCCCAGGGGTTGGGGGGCTGGTTCCAGCACCGCGGTCTGTGCAGAATGAATGACTATCTCTTTCCCATCTGGATTCTATTATTTTTCAGTTTATCCTTGTCAAAAAGCACAAGATGAACGTCTAGAGGAAAAAAAATATAATCTTTGAGAAAATTGAAAATATGTATCGTTTGGGCTGGGGGCTTGGGGGCCCTGCAGGCTGGTTCTCCCTGACTGACTGCTGGGGGCCTGGCTCAGCCCATGGCTGCACACATGGCTTCTCTGCACCCCCCTTCCCGGGATCCACAGGGCATCTCTTTCCCACCCTTGAGGCTCTCTCTGTTCAGGACCTGGTCTCCAGGGTGTATGTGGTGGGGGGCTGGGAGGGAAGAGAAGTGGAGCCACAGGCCCTCAATTTCCTTCCCTGGGAACATGGGCCTGTTCTGGATATTTTTGTGACCTCCAGATTGTTCCATGGAGGAGAGAAACCCGCCTTAGCCCCATTAGCTAAGGTATATTGAACCTTTATTATGGACCAGACATCTTCGAACCACCTTCTGTGTATTCTAGGGACTGTTCATCTTTTGGGTTCCTCACACTAACCCTCTATGCTAGTATCACTGTCTCCTTTTATAGATGAGGAAACAGACACAGACAGCTTAAGGAATGTGTCCAAGTTCGCGTAGCAAGGCAATGGCAGAACCATTCAAATCCAAGTAGTTGAACTCCAGAATTCACTGCACAGCCACTGAGCTGTGAAGCCTCCTTTCTTGGAAGGAGACAGGGGAGGAGCAGGAGAGAACGTGCACCTAAGTGAGTATGTGGGTGGTTATAGTGTATGTCCCAGTGTAGAACAGTGTAGACTTCGTAGCTCTGTGTCCTTGCGTCCTTCCTAGTGTCCTTGACTGTATGCAACTATATTTGTTCATTCATCCATCGGTCTACCATCCTCCTACCTACTCACATCCATCTCTGTCCCTCCCTCCCTATCACCTACCATCCATTATCTATTTACCCATTACTTACCCATCCATCCATTTTATTATCTATTTATCTTTTCCATCCATTCATTCCTCATCATCCATCCATTTATCTATGTATCTATCATCTGTTTTTAACTCTGGGGTCACATGTATGTGGGGACACTGCCAACTATGTCTGTGCATGCGCATGCATACATCTGAGTGCATGTGATAGGTGTCGGTGTATATCCGCTGTCCAGACAGGTGGCCCCCTGCACCCCCTCACTGGAGACGCTTCCCCCACACCTGGAAAGTGACCTGAGGGAGGGGAGAGAGGCCCAGCCTCAGCGGGCCTGCCCTGGGCCCTTGGCTCCCCTCTGAAGCCTCAGTGGAGAGTTGATTAAATCCTTTCCCCAGTAAGCGTGATCATTAATGCTGATGGCCGGCTGCAGCTCACTGGGCAGCTGACGAAGCCCTGCCGGGGGTGGGGGTGGGGGTGGGTGGGTGGGGGAGTGGGATGGTGGGGTGTGTGTGTGTGTGTGTGTGTGTGTGAGTGTGTGTGTGTGTGTGCGCGCGCGCACTAGGGACGCACCATCTCTGAGCCTTGCTGGGCGCACCTACATAACCCTGTGCAAGAGGAACAGTGATGTGAAGGGGGCCATGCCGGGCTGTGTCATGCGATGGCCCCCGTCCGTGCGCTCCAGGTTTGGGTGTCCATGGCGTGTGCGTGAGCAGGTGCTCCGGGGCGTGCTCTGGGCGTCTCCAGGTGTCCCTGGATGTGCGTACCGGTGAGTGTGCGCCTCTGTGCGTGTGTCACAAAGAGCCGGGAGCAGCAGGGCAGCTGCCTTCCGGGGCCTGACTGACACCCCTTGCAAATAAATGTGACAATGAAATATAGTCCTGGAATTGCTTTGGATGCTCCGTCAAGCAGGCGACACGGAATAGGTGAAGTTGTAAAACGTTCCCTGGGGAGCCGCGGCGGCTGAGTGACAGCCTGTTCCCGGCTCCGCCTCTCTGCCTGGCGCTACCGCGACCCTCGTGCCCTCCCGCCCCCAACTCTCCTGGGGGGGACAGTCCGTCTGGCAGGACTTCTTTGCTTGACCTTGGTCTCCCCACTCCTCAGCATATAAAACCCCAGCGTCAGGCCGTGTGCA